ATGAAGTATTGTGCAGGGACTACTGCCGGACGGACGAGTGATAGCGGTCAAGAGGCTGCTGAACTCTGGGCAAGGACTTGGAGAGCTTAAAAACGAGCTGCTTTTGGTTGCTAAGCTCCAGCACAGGAATCTCGTAAAACTTCTGGGCGTTTGCTTGGAGGAAGAGACGATGATTGTGTATGAATACGTGCCTAATTCAAGCCTGGACAAATTTCTGTTTGGTAATTCACGCTCTTAATGTGCTTTCTTTAGAACTTTGATATCTGCAGTTCAAAAAAAGAAAAAAGAAAGAAAAACTAAACCTTTATGATTAAGTTTGGAAGTAAAAGTTTTTGCCTCGATTCCTTTTTTATGGAGCAGATGCTGTAAGAGGCAAACAGCTGACTTGGGGAATTCGATACAAGATCATCTGTGGAATCGCTAGAGGCCTGCTTTATCTGCACGAGGAATCTCAACTAAAAATCATACATCGAGATTTAAAAGCCAGCAACATCTTGTTAGATGCAGATATGAACCCCAAGATCTCAGATTTCGGCTTAGCGAAGCTTTTTGACATTGACCAGACTCAAGGCACCACCAATCGAGTCATGGGAACCTTGTGAGTGGACTGGTCCAATGGTGTACCTATTATTTGCGTTACCTAACCAATCTTAATTCCACTGCAGTGGATACATGGCTCCGGAGTACGTGATGCAAGGCAAGTTTTCGATCAAGTCAGACGTATTCAGCTTCGGTGTTCTGGTTTTGGAGATTTTGACAGGAAGAAAAAGCAATGGTTCCCATAATCCAGAAGTTACTGAGGTCCTTCTAAGCTACGTGAGTAGCCAAGTGGAGTCACAAATCACATTGATTGGCTTTGCATTACTACCGAAGTCTAATTCCGACTTTTGTGATGCATTTGAGTTGAGTTTCAAGTTATCTTTTCCTTTGCACAGATATGGGAGAAATGGCAAGACGGATCAGCCTTGGAGATAGTCGATCCAGCCTTGGGTGGTCACTACCAACAAAGCGACCTGTTAAGATGCGTGCAAATTGGGCTATTATGTGTTCAGGAAGATCCTTCTGATAGGCCAACTATGTCAACGATAGTGGTGATGCTCGACAGTGAAACTGTCTCTCTCCGAGCTCCTTCACAACCTGCATTTTATATGGGGAACGGTGATAAGGTTGCTACAATGTCAGTAAACCAAGTTTCAATGTCAGAACCAGAATTACGATAATGTTAATCCTTCTTCGAGCACAAGGTCTACGATAATGTAATAAATATTTTCCTTGTTATATGTGACATTATTGCAATATGTAATTTCAAGGTTATACCATTGGATCTGACTTTGGCTTCAGAACTAGAAATTTTAGTTTCTAAATTTTGAGAGTCAAACTCAACTAGTATCAAAATCAAAATCGTAGTCGCTGAGCGATGTACAATTAATCACGCCCCTAGAGACATTATCGTTTGCTATCATCGACGTCATCCGTCATTACCAACTAAAATATTAATTTTTTTTTTCTGTTTACTAACGATATTAGGATAAATAGACCTAAATATTTTATTTTTATAATTATAGGGATACAAATATAACTGTTTAAATTATATGGATTAAAATAGATATTTTACTTTCGTAATTATAGGGATACTAACTTTTTAAATTATATGGATTAAAATATTAATGATAATTAACTATATTGAATAATATGTAATTAATCCAAATATAACATAAAAATAATGACACTCGGTCAACACATAATAGCTGTTCCAACTAGTTGTGTGCACTGATACGGCTCATGAAAAGTTTATCTTCCACAAACGTCCGATGCATCGCTTTCATTCCACTCATTTATTCCACACCATTTCCGCTCCAAAGCTTCGAAGACTTGGTAAGAGCTTTTCTTGGATTCCATTCCTTCGTCAAAAGCTAAAATGTGACATGGATCTGTGCATATCTGTTTTGATCGCGTACCCGACTCAGGAAGTGTAACGAAAAGGAGGGTAAGGGTGAAGGATGTCAAGATCTGGCTGTTCTCCTTCCTCAGCTGGCCGACCTGCGCGGTGAGACAATCCAAATGCTTCTGCTTGCGCATCCTGGACTGCCTCACAGATTCGCTGTTTGATATCTTTCTCTTTTGCTTCTAAAGGTTCATCACTGCCTGCAGATCCTCTTCGGAAGCTGACTTTGGCAGCAGGCTGGACCCAGAAGGAGTTCCAACAGGAGAAGCCATAGAAGCTTTGTTCTTTTTGCAGTGAAAATGAGATTCTTTTTCTTACTAGCCTCTATAAATTTTAATGGTAGTGCTCAAGCAAAGAGTATATATTGGTTGGAAATATAGCTGAATAGTGTGAATATATAGCAAGACAAATACTATCAAGAAAACTAGGAGATTCTATGTATATATATATGTATATATGTAGATCTCAGAACGAGCTCATGAAAACACACAAAACCAGTAAAGGAAGACAACAGAGAAGGACTGAGCTTGATGGGTCCTGCGCCTTAGCGTGATGTTGATCATAAACCCAGAGAGAAGGATCTCACTTAGGATAAGCGACATCAATTAGAAATGTCAAGAGCAACAGATGCTGCATGTGACAAACACACAGGAGGCTTTAGTATACAAAGATCAGAGAAATGATTTTGCCCCTCCCTTCGCCCCGCCGATTGCTATCTCTGCCTCTGGCTGCTTGTGCATCCGTTCTTGGCTGCTTTCGCCTCTACTCTTAGCCGCCTCCACCCCTCGTCGTCTCCTTGCATGGCCCTCCCACCCCTTTGCCCCTTGCTCTCGTTCGCCCTTGGTAGCTTTTGCGCGTCATCCCCACTCTGCTATTCTAGTTATCGTCATTGTCATCTTGACGGAGGAGGCAGTGGACAGCCCCACCCTTTGCCCACCCTCTCCATCGGCCTCGTTGACGATGGCATCGATGCCACTATAGCTACATGATGGTGTCGTTGCCCTCCACTCGCCATGAGATAATCCAAATCCTGATCAACTAAGCACAAGATGATATTTTTAGGGAAGAATGTCACAAAATCGAATTTTTAGAAGAAAACCCTTCGGAAATCACATAATTTAGGAAACAAGAAAATATCGATGAGATGAACAAGAAAATATCGATGAGGAGCAACAGATGACACTGATTCGAATGATGTCCACTAATTAAAATTTTAGTAAGTTAATTATTTAAATACTTAACAAATTTTAAGACTCAAAATTGAAAGACTTGATAACTCGATAATATCTATTAGTGCGGCAATGTATTTTTATTTATGCTATATATTTTTCTATATATAAAAGCTTGAATTTTTATTTAAAATTCAAATTAATATTATGTACAATACTATTTTTAAAAAATATTATTGTGATAAAAATTATTATAAAGTCACCGTTGTGGTGATATATGGTGTCGCAAGAATACAAGTCAAGAGTCAACGAGATTTAAGCTTAGATTCTTCAAAGATTTCACGTGGACGTGTAAAGTCACCGTTGTTAGAAATACATCAGGGTCTATATATGTTGAGAATCTTGGACTACGTATAGTGGATGATGGTAATGACACGACGAGTTACAGTGTACATCACATGACGGGAGTAGAATTTTCTGCATCTTTGTCGGAAGAAAGATTACAGGTGTTCGTGAAGGTCTATTGGTTGGACAACGGGATGGTGACAGCTGACGTTGAATCCAAGAGCCAAAATGTCGAGCGTCATTGACTTTGACTTGCATCTTAGTCAAGTCTTCTTGACCTAAACCGCGCGGTAGTAGCACGATCAAATCTACGAAGAGCCCGCGGAAATCGCGGGGACGTGGCAGCTATATATATATATATATATATATATATATACGAAAAGTCTTCATTGTTACACTCCT